CCGCCCCAGCCTTCCTGCCCCACAGCGCAGGGATGTCCACGTTCCCCTCTGCTCACCCTCCCGGGAGCTGCTGTCAGCAGTGTTGGGGGTTGCTTTGGCTTTTATTTTCATTTTTCGTTGGGCTCCTTCATCCCTGGCACTGGCTCAGGTCTGGGGGACGAGGGCAGCTTTCGGGGCACTGGCACCCGGGTCCCGCTCGCCGGCTGCCGGCGCTCCCATCCATCGCGGGGCGGGGGGGAAGAGGCTGTTTTTGGGGGAATGCCCAGGGGATTTTGAAAACCCCGTCCTTGGGGATTTGCATATTTCATGCAAACACTTGCCAGGGTTGGAACAGAGACTCTCCGCCTCGCCAGCCTTTGAAGTTTATTGAGCAAGCTGTCTCTGCACGGCGCGGGGCAGGAGAGGCGGCTTCCAGGATGGTTTGGAAACAGCCCCGTCCCTCAGCGAGCAGGCGGGGAGCTGCCAGCCTCAGCCCCAGCTATAAACTTTTAATGAAGCTGAATAAACACGCTGCCGTGCAGCACGTGGGCTGCGGGGACAGGAAGCAAAGGGAGGTGAATAACAGCGCTTCGCTTTCGCAGTGGAGAAAACAAAGGCTGTGGGACGCCTGTTCAGAAAACACGTTCCACTGTCAGCGTAGTTTGGATCCCGAGCGGGATGCAGGAGCAGTGGCGGAGCTGCTTAGGAGGCGGATGGCGTCACCTCCCGTTTCCTCTTTCTCTTTTTCCTCTTTTCCCAGAAATCAGGGGAGCTGGTTGCTGTGAAGGTCTTTAACAATGCCAGCTACCTCCGGCCCCAGGAGGTCCAGATGAGAGAGTTCGAGATGCTGAGGAAGCTGAACCATAAAAACATTGTCAAATTATTTGCCGTGGAGGAGACGGTAAGCGGGGCCCCAGCTCGGAAACCCGCCGTGCCGACTGGGCCAGTGACACGGGGGAGCTGGTCTGAGCTGCGGGAGGGGAGCTGTGGTCCCAGGCTGCCTTCTCCTCCCTCCAGCTCCACACCAAGCCTCAGCCCAGCGCTTCAGCACTGGGGGCACTGGTAGCACTGGGCTGGAGCACGGACGTGACCTGCTGTTGTCCCCTGGCCAGGCACATGGCACAGCGGGGACGTTGTCCCACACCATTTCGTCTGAGCAGGAGAAACCCAGGGACCCACCAACAAAGGGAGGGGACCTGGTCCTGCC